TGTCTCACACTCTCTTCCGGGCATTTTGTGAGGACGTAGAATGAGTTGATGTGAACATAAAAGTCCTATACCGTTTTGCGATATTCGCGATAATTATCGAGATATTAATTGTAGAAAATTTGTAAATGATCATGCAGAATATGGTAAATGAGTTATAATAGCGACGACTGCCGTCGTGTACTTATACTTTAGGTCAAATCGTATAAAAAAGTTCTCTACCATTTTGCAAATAATCACATAGATTTTTAATTATTAATTAAAGAAGATGAGTGCATTATCAAAATTGTGCAATAATCTTTTTTAATTAATAATTAAAAATCTATGTGATTATTTGGAAAATGGTGGAGGACTTTTTTGTTCAATTTGACCTAAAGTATAAGTACACGACGACAGTCGTCGCTACTATAACTCATTTACCATATTCTGCATGATCATTTACAAATTTTCTACAATTAATATCTCGATAATTATCGCGAATATCGCAAAACGGTATAGGACTTTTATGTTCACCTCAACCTGTTCTACGTCCCCACAAAATGCCCGGAGGAGAGTGTGAGACACCCTGTATATCTTTCTAAATTTAGCTAAAAAAATATGTGTTAGTCATCCTTTGAATTTCACATTGTCTTCGCCTCGAGAAACACAATGTTAAATTATTACCCGATAGTTTCGACGAACTCAGTTATCGGAGAGTTATATACATGACTGAAATTTCTAGCCGCGACCAACAGATGGAGTCGGCGGTATAAAAGCTGACGCGAGCTCGCGGTTTTACCAACGGATCGCGTGCGCCAATCGATTGATCGTACGCAAACAAGATCCAGTCTATCAATTTTTTTCCGTAATTAACAAGCGAATTACAAGTCTTCTTTTGTTCCTCACCCCTTTCACTCGCTTCCTTAGATATTTCCCACAAAGGTCGACGTATAAAGTGTCCACAATTCCGCCAAATACGAACTTTGTGTCAAAAATTTCTCTCTCTCAAAACTTAGTCATATATACACTCGGTCATAACATCTCGAACATTACGGTCGATCGAAGCACCGTATGCAAGTCGGAATTTTGATCCTACTTTCAGCCTCACTATTTCATTCAACGCCTATTTTGATACTAAAGAAAATGAAAAAGGAAAGGACCCCGCACAAACCTTATGGAAATTGAATTTCGGTCGAATTGGCTGAAGATTTGATATGTTGTAGATCTTGTCGTCCTGATAAAAAGTCTCCACAGGTACGATCTTCTGCAATGAACCGTTTGATTTCTACGAGATGTCATTTTTCAAAACAGGCTAATACTACAATATCTTATTTTCAACGGATACGATGTACTCCTACATCATTGTACTTTCTATGTATTTTTTTAAGTAAAAAGTTATAAGGATATTATTGACTTTATTGCTTCTTACAAAAAAGTTATAAAGATATCGAGATCAATAACTTGATTTTAGAAATTTAAGTCAATGCTGTGTTGCTTCATGTCTAGGGCGGGAAAATAAATGGACACAATCATAGGGTGCATGCAAAGAACCGCTTTATTTGAGTAGGCCGTGCGTTGTGAGAGGCGAGGGGACTCACAATAATCAAGCACTCCGATTTGTGAGAGGCGAGGGGACTCACAATAATCAAGCACTCTGACTTTTGAGAAGCAATCAAGTCAATATAACTTTCCTTTTTATCCTTATAACTTTTTATTTAAAAAAATATATAGAAAGTACAAATAATGATGCAGGAATGCACCGTATCCCTTGAAAATAAGATATAGCCTGTAGTATTAGCCTGTTTTGAAAAATGACGCCTAGTACAGGTCAAACGGTTCATTGTAGGAGGTCGTACCTGTGGAGACTTTTTATCAAGACGACAACATGTCAAATCTTCAGCCAATTCGATCAAAATTCAATTTCCATAAGGTTTGTGCGGGGTCCTTTCGGACATCACCAAAGCAGGAGTAAATTGTATCATTCGAATTAAACCTACTTTGCTAGCTTAGCTCCTATTGTGTCGTAGAGTCCAAGATTTAACATAAGACCAAAGGTTCGACTCGGATTAGCGAGACAAAGGAAGCAAATTAGCGGGGCGATTACGAAGGAGATTAGCCGAAGCGCGCTTTCGTCCCGTCGCTGTCGATCTCGAGTCAGGAGACCGCGTCGTGAAACATGAAAAAACGCCAGACAAAGCCGGCGGCCCGTCTGCGGATGACGGGACAAGCCCGTGGGGGCGCATGAATGGAGGTATGACGTGTAGTACCGTAATGGACATTCCGGCGCGGTGGCTCAAATCCGGGCGTCCAGTTGCGTAAGCGTAGTCACGACAGACGTCCCGTCACGACCCATAACGGGCCGTACTTTTACCGCTCGTAGGTGGAAAAGTGCTGTACAATCACCTCTCTCGAACCCCTGTGATTTCCGAGCGGCGCGCCCGCTTGCGAATTCGTAGCTGACGCCGGCCGTGTATTGCACCTCGTCGGCTATTACGCGCGCAATTCACCCGCGACTTTGCAACTTTTCTCCACGCGATTCTCCCGAGTTTCTCTCTCTACCCTCCCCCCTCTCCCTCGTCCCCCCGCCTCTCCCCGCTGAGCTACGCATGTGGCGATTATTTCGAATATCGAACGTTCGCTCCTCTCGGCGAATAATCGTTTTGAATCAAGGCTAACCGCGCGATTTCACATGAGATTCCCAAGGTCCCGTCAGTCATTGAAATAATTAGAGACAATCGAGAGTTGGGAGTATTACAAATTTCTCGCTGCATCAAAAAGTTAAACCGAGCTAATTACGCTCGGAAATGATGGAAAGTCAATATTTTCAGCGATCACAGTATTACAGTGTACAGAGTCAAATAACGAGGTCAATTGAAACGTTAGCACGGAATTAAAATGTTCGTACATTTTAATGTGCGTTGCACGAAATGGAATCTACGAAAAGCTCAATTCTATTTCAAACTTTCAGTCGCAATTATTTAATTTCATAAAGTTACACCGAAATCTACTTTCAATTTTGTTAATCTCAATGTTTCAATAAGCGAGTTTCTGATCGCGAGTTAAATTCCTCTCGCAGCGAACGTTCGACTAAAAGTGGTGGAATCAATCTCTAATATTAAAATTTAATACTGCAGGATAGATAACCGAACGGGTCGATTTTACATTATATAGGAACAATTACATACTGTTCGGCCACCCGCGCCCTTTAACTCTCAGGGCGTGCTGAGCCCTCTAATGTGTATAAATAGAGCACTAAAAATAGCAGCTTCAAAGATATGCGGTTAAGTCTCCCTCGCCGCCCCATGTGGTAGAGACTCTGAAATCCCCATTTCCTTGCGTCACCCCCATAGCCGCTGAGTCACACCGGTCCTATCTCGCTCCCCAAGGAGCATCACAAACATTCACCACCCTCACTCGCGTTTATCTGGTAAATCTCATTTTCGAAATGACGTTCAGCGGACCGAACGCGCTCGAAAGCCACGTGTCGACAGTTACCGAGTTTGCGCCTAAATCAAACAACAATAACCTTCAAACATCGAGATCAATTGGTATCCTCGGTGACAAGTTAATTTTCAGGTATAGCAAAATTAATTTTCAGCTAAAGACCACAAATTTTGCCTGATAGTTCAAGATCTCTGTTAGATAATAATATTAATAATATTAATAATATTAATAATAATAGAATAATATTAATAATAATATAGATATGTATTAATAATAATATTAATAATATTAATAATATTAGAATAATATTAATAATAATATAGATTGATTCAGATATCTTTTTGCAATAAAACACAGCTTTCATTCGTCGGCAAAATATAAATATTTTGCTCACGTCAAAGCTTGTTCAGTAAAGTGTTTAGACACTTTAGAGTCATCCTGATGATAATGCTGGTGAAATCTGTGAAACCTTTTTATCCAAAGGACTCATTTCTCGAAATTCAGTTCTTCTTGGCGAGAAATCAATCTCGACGAGACAATGTCACGGGTGTTGCATCGCGTTTGCGTTCTCGAGATCGAATAACACGCTATGCGGTTTAAACGCCTGATCGCGTCTAAATAAATAACAAATAAAAAGCAACAAGTGTCGCGGAACTCGCCGTGCTCGCCGTGTCGATCGTGTCAATATGTAATTCCCTCTTATGAAACGAAAATTTACGAGTACAAGGCCGCCCATTATCATAAGCAAAGGAATTAACGTAATCGCAGTCACGGCGGCCCTTTCAATTCTCTCGAACGCGAGACGGCGGCGAACGACCGATATATAAAACGTGTAATTCAAGATTTCCCATGGATCAGTTCGTGCCGCGATCCGATCTGAATTGCGTCAATATGCAATACGGCGGCGTTGCATAACGCGATCCGTAATACGGCATAACTCCGCGTATCGCAAGCGCACACGCCCGTTGCATTCACGATATTTTCCGTTTCGCGGAGCTATCGAGACGTATATCACGATATTATCGACATGTTGCGAAGCTCTTGGCTCCCCGCGGTGCTCGGCGCGATATGTCGTGTTATTGTTGTTGCACGGACGCTGTGAGAATTATTATTAGCCGATCAACACTGAGTATACCAGCAAGAGATACGAATTGCGAATTTGCTTCTTACGTGACTCAGGACTTGTTGTCACATGAACGGCTCGCGATTGGACGATACGAAAAATTCGTTGTAGACAATTTTATTCTCTCAATAACATATCTTCAATAAGATATAAAATAAAAAATAAATATCAAATAAAAATATGAACATGGCTTGAAATGTTTATGAATTAAAATAACCAACACTTCCGTCCTTTTCCATCCTTCTTCGAAATTGTTCGATCTCCTCTACTGAGATAACTCAAATCGATCTGTTTACTCGAGACGACGGTTAACGGACGGTCGATGAGGTTTTTCTTTTCGCCGAGTTGACAATACGTGTCGTACACGCACACACACAATGATACATACCGAATAGTGTGTGCTAATACCGAAAGGAGACTCGAGTCCACGCGAGTAAGCGATATAAAAGGAGCCGAATCGAACGTCTCGAGTTGTGTTGGGTAACTGGATAGATCAGAGTTAACATCGTTCTCGCGCTTATATTTCTTCGAACTGTTCCAGCCTCCCGCGTTACCACCTCCGGATTATTCGCGCCCTAATAACTGATCTGGCGACACGTCTTCCCTATGATCCGCCGTGAAACAAGCGCGAGAACGAAAGGACCCAACATGAACAGTGCGGGAAATTTGCACGGCACAGTTGGATCGATAGGTCGAAGAAGGTCTCGAAGGTATGAGATCTGACACTTTACTTTATTCGCGTTTCTAATAATCACGAGCGCTCGTCGCCCGAGATCCCGCAGTAGACATTCGCAACGGTCCGCGGGGTGTTATTTTATCATTAACGCGACTGAAACGCGCGAGAAACGTCATCACGATCAATCGCTCTATCGTCCTTGCGACGAGAGAGGTGCACAAAGTGGCGTTCGATACAAACAGCACGGACTCGTCTCATTTATTTCAATACTGCTGGTTTTCTCATCAAACTCTGATGTGAACAAAAAGTATTTTGTCGACGAACAAAAGGTGTATTCCATTGCAAAAAAATTTATAAATCAGTCTATATTATTTTCATTACTATTATTATCTACCAGCTAGTAAAATACGGCAACATTTTTGATCTTTAGCTGAAGATTAATTTTGCAATGCTTGAAAATCAATATTCTACGAGAATACATTGTCGTCAATCAACCTCGATCGCGCAATGAAATAAATTGTCTGATAAAAAATTAACAAACAAATATTTTCGATCAAAATACCGATTAATTTTTATATCCGATTAAATTTAATTGAATATTTCCGATCATAATGGCATTTCATCAGATAAATCGATCAAAAAATTATCAACCGATATTTTCCATCGGATGTTTCGGATACAAAAATTCATCGATATTTTGATCGGAAATATCTGTTTGTTAATTTCTTAACGAATAATTTCTCTCAGTGAGATTGAATTCGCCAAATAATATAACGTGGACATGTAAACGCTCGACGTGGCGAACTAAACACGACGGTGAGTCGCCGAGCCGACATTCGACCTCTAAGAACACAATCAACAGATACAGCTCTGTTGTCGCGAACGTGTCGAACGGTGTTAGAGCGTGTGTAATTATTGCCATTCTTTTTTTCTTTTGATTTAAACCTAACGACAATCTACCAACAATATTCGACGGCTTTCTATTTGAAATTATACCGTTAATATATCGTTCTCTTTCAAAATATTCAAATTAAGTAATTATTAATTTAGTAAATTTAGACTGTGTGGCAACATGAAATGATTCAATTATTACATCATTACTTTGCGTAAATAATATTTATTCGGTGGGTGCTAATAATATAACATACTTAAATCTAAATTTTTAATTCGAACAATTGTTTTCACGAAAATCTTGTTAATTTTTTTAAACAGAATTCTGATAACACACTTCTGATCACAATTCAGCTAAAATTCGTTTATATCTCCACAAGATATCTCGTTCAACCAAATTTTGTTTCCCATGTAAGGAATAAAAAAAATGTATATTTTTTTATTTTTTTTTACGAATATTTTATAGTAATATTTATATAATAATATTATATAATATTTTAGTACAATATGTCTCTCTTTCTCTCTCGTCAATATACTCACCGAATAAGTATTTTTTCATTTCTTACATTTTTTTCTCTCAATGTACGACAATCATATCGACCCTAGTTGTAATTTTTCGGCGCGGATATTGATGTTTTAGATATCAGACTAAGTTCAAGGCTGAAAAAGTGTCGCGGAGCTTGAACAACGTTCTCAGCAATTCCAACAGGCGAGCCAAGCGAGCCAAAAAAGCGTGCATACAGAAACATGATGAATTATACCATAACGCTGACGGAAAATTCCGAATGATAAATAAAAATCCAAATTCTGAACTGAGCACGGATGAAGAGAACAAGGAAAACAGGAAAGCGATAAAGAAGATATCCGAGACCAGAATGAACAACAGAAAGCCATTGAAATGCTCGACGAGGGTGCAATTATTGAGGAAAAGTATGAAAACATCTTAATAATACGAAAACTGTGAAACGTACGCGCGCGCCTCGGTTATAACGTTTCGTTTTTGGTATTGCCCCCCGAAAGTTCTCACGCACAAGAGAATACATACCGCATCCAAATAAATTGTACGTTTCACTTTCTCAATAATACATGTAAAGGAGACCGGGGCTAATTGGCTATCGGGATAAGTTGGCAAAACCGGTTATTTCTAATAATTTTCTAACAAGTTATAAAATTGTGCAAGCAAGATTTTTAAAGATGGTTTCAAAATTCTTGCTTGCTTAATTCTGAAATCTGTTGAAGAGCAATAATAGATATAATCAATTTTGCGAATTTATCTCGGTAGCCAAATAGCTCTATTAGACACAAATAAAAACATGCTAATGTCAAATCGTACGTACAAAATATTTCAATTTTAAATACAAAAGTATTCTTTTCAGTGCAGGATAATATTTTTCTGTGTAAATGCGACACGCTTTTGAAATTAATTCGCTCAATATATTGAACTGGCGCGTTCTCTTTCTCTCTCTCTCCCTCTTCCTCTCTCCCTCTCTCTCTCTCTCTCTCTCTCTCTCTCTCTCT